TGCATGCTTTATTATAAATTTGATGAAGTTAAACCATGTTTTAAAAATTTTATTTACACCATTTACAGACAAGAGTAATGTTTATTCTTGAAAAAAAAAATTATTTGCATTTTCTTCAGTCAACCCCACGGCGCTTTCAGCCTTTGATATTTTCCCTGAACAAATAAAATGATCGGCATGGACCACGTGTGTCCAAGCAGTTTTTTTTACTGTTGAGTTAGCAATGGATAACATGATTTCTGAGATGCATTTTTCAATAAAAGTAAAATAGGATAATTCTTTCGACATGTGCACATCCCTGTAACGATAGCAGTATATATTCAGGTAAATATTTCTATCACTGCATTTGACGCGTTTTCTCGACTGACCTGCATGGAATTTTTGCTCTACTTGAATGTTTTCCATGTAAGTGTATTTTCTATATTGCAGCAAATGCATTCAAAAATAATTTTATTCTCGGTATAGTTCTAGTTTTTGTTGAATTTTTACTTTTCAACCATGTATTGCATGGTCAGTTTATGGACTCCTCTTAAAACTATGATATCGGAGATGTGCACATGTCGACAGCCGGGATAGAAAATCACTCAAGTGAAACAGTTCTAAAAGGCTATATATAGCAGGTACAAGTGGCCAAAAATGTTCGATTAAATATGGCGGAATCGAAGAAATATGGCGGACAAAGGCGTACAGGAATGAAGTAAGTCGTACAAAGATGAAAAATGATGCCTTTTTAAGAGTTCATGTCAGCTTTAAACAGTTTCATTAATAAATTATTAGCATTATCTCTACTACTCATGTTAATTCAATGACACTAACAATGAAGCATATTCAATGAAGACGAATGGAAGTTGTCAAACCGTCAAAATTTAGTGCGGCATTATAACGCTAGGTGGCGTGGTGTTTGCTACGAGTGTTGGTAAAACTAAGTAAGCAAACCCGGGTCGGGTTATTTGAGATTCTTCAATACGCCTTAATACTTTATCAATCGAACTGCTGAAGGCCGGATCCGATCTCCCGATCCAATGATGGAAACTCCATATCTATTTTCTCTGGGCACACAGGAATAGCGGCTTCTTTATTTCAGACGTAACTTTATACTATACTGAATATGTTCATTTAAAGGCCGACCCACTTTTTGTTAGAGTAAGGATCAAATAAGTAAATGTAGTACGTGTAGTTGGAAGAAAATTTAAATTTGATTCTATAGAAGAATTTGAATCTAACTCAAAACCCACCCCGCCCTCGAAATGGGATTTCATTGGCGTCGGAAGTTAATTGAAAGTTGAGGGGGGGGGGGGGGGGGGGGGGGGTAAGTGTAAGAATTTTTTTTAGACCTTCTAAAAAACCTGATAAGCAAAAAAAAAATGTCCATTTTTCAAACACAAAAATACTATTTATTGAGGAGGGGTGGGGTGGGGTGGGTTAAAGGTTCGAACTCTAGTTCCAATGTTTTTTCTCTCCAAATACCACCTCTTTCCCCATTTTAAACCTCCACTGCATCGTGTCCATGGAAAGTGGGGGGGGGGGGGGGGGGGGGGGGGGGGCTAAACTACGCAGGAATGTTCAATGTCTATACTAAGTCTATCTTTGGAAAGAAGTGGGGGCTAAGCCCCCCCCCCCCCTTCCCCGGTTCCGACGCCTATGTATTTTCAAGTTTGGACAATTTCCTGGGGTTTATTTTGCGCTTGTCAAGTTTTTTTCAGCCGGGAGCTTGAATATTTATTCTCTTGTTGCCCCCCTCCCCACTTTCAAAAACGATGCTACGCCACTGTTCTCTCGCCTGAAAAATATAACTCTACTAAAGTTATTTGTTGGATATTTGAATCACAGGCGCTTGACGTTTTTAACCTTTCTCTTTATAAATAAAAATTTTCCCTACTATAATAATGATATCATTATAGTAGGGAAAATTTTGATTTATAAAGAGAAAGGTTAAAAACATCAAGCGCCTGTGATTTGAATTACAGTTTAATTGTTATAAAAATTTTAAATATTTTGATACTAGTTAACCCTTGTAAATTGGGTTGATTTTCAGAACCTTCCACTGAATTGAACTTTATTTCACGACAGATAGTAACTGTTGATGCGCGTGATTCTAGGGACAGGGCTTTGTAAATGAGTGAGGAGCGTTATGGGTAGGCAGGAGCGGATCCAGATTTTTTTTCCAGGGGGGAGGGGGGGGGGCACCAAGTAAAAAAAAAATCTAATCCAAGAAATTTCTTGACAAGCATAAAGAGAAGAAAAAAAACCTAAACTCGCTCAAACGTCAAAATTCTATTTCGTGGGGGTGGGGGTGGGTAACTTTTTCCCTTGTTTTAGTAACCTTGTTAATTCCAGGGGGTCCTACCCCCTCTAGATCCGCGCATGGAAGGTGAAGTCGGAACTAGACTACATGCACCCAGGTACACTAGAAACACCCCGGTCTTTTTTTCTGCGTTAATATTTTATATTGAAATAGCACTTTTCAATAAAGAAAGAAATATCTTTAGTACGCATTGTGTTTGTCATCAACCAGGAGAGCTAAAAAAATCTTAAAACGCGAAAATTCTATTTGGTGGTGCTGAAGGGGGGGAGGGGGGGGGGGGTCGTCAACTTTTTTCAGTAATAAATTTCACTCATATGCCACTAAGTACATATAAATTGACTATTAGTACTGCAACAAAAAGTGTAAGGATAAGGGATGGGGGGGGGGGGGGACAAAGAGCCTTTCGCTGAACTTTTCCAGTTGTAAAAAGTTACGTTTAGGAAAATGTTTCTTGACCACCCTCCCCTCTACCGATGAAACTTACCCCATAGGAGGTCGTCCACCCGGAAGTCAGTATATATATTGAGACTTTGGTGGTGTAGTTGTACATTGTATAATTTCCTTTTCGAGAATTTTTCACTCAAATGGAGAAGCCACCTCATGCCGGTGGAGAGCTGCAAATTTGTCCTATATACTCGGCACTTATAGCCATTGAGCAGTGAGGGATCCTTTTTCGTGCCAGCACCTACTGCGACACGGGACCTCGGATAATGCGGTCTAGATCTCATCCGAAGGACCGAACTCCACATCCTATAGTGGGATTCGAACCCACGACGTCCTTACTACTGTACTTCATGACTCTATATAGAGCAGACGCCGTAACCACAGTGCCACATGGGCGACTGCATCCAGGGGGGGGAGAGAGAGAGAGAGAGAAGGATTATTAACCATATGTACTCGTGAAGATTATCTAGGTCTAACTAAATGGTTAAAATGATTTAATTATAAAACACTATTAAAATGATAAATATTTAAATATTTATTCATATAGAACTAGGTCCCTGATAGAACGGATAAATTTTCTTCAAAAACTGAAAACGTTAGTATATATAAACATTGTTTTACGATTTAAAAAACTATTCGGGGGGAGTCCCACTGTATAGTCTTCCGAAGGAAGCATCACAATGTAGTCAGCCTTCCAGGGGAAATCTTACCAACTAGCGAGACTTCCGAGGAAATGGCATGCATCGGGTACATACCTGGACTTATAACAAACATCAGTCTTTTAAAAATTTAAGTTTGATTAATAAAGTATTAAGGCAGAAAATTGAAAAAAAAACTCGAATAACCCCGGCACGGGTTTGCTTACCTAATTTATCCAACACTCTTAGCGAACACCCCTGCCACCTAGCGTTATAATGCGGCAATAAATTCGGACAACTTGTATTCTTCTTCATTGAATATGCTTCATTGTTTGCGTGATTGAGTTAACGTTCGTAATAGTTATAATCATTTAAGAAACTGTATCAATTTAATAGAAAGTAAAATGAATTTACAAGAATAAAGCAACATAGAAGTAAGGGCAAAATGAAGAGGGATAAAAGTCAAAGTGAAATGTAATAAAGACGAATATGAAAACAATAAAGTGACATATAATTACAATAATAACAAAGCATAAAGAAGTAGGCAGAATAAGAATAAAAGCAAGATACATAGACTTTTGGCGGTAATTCCCTTCCATAGTTTCAGAGAAGAAGCTGAAAATGTTTAAATGTTAACGCACGACGAACGACGACAGACAAAAACGGATAGCAATAGGTCACCTGAGTTTACTCAGGTGACCTTAAAACTTTAACCTGCATCAAAAATGTTAACTTGCTCCAAACACATTAACCTGGTCATTCTTTTGCTGAAATTGCATCTAAAACTTTATCTGTACAATTAAACCCACTGGAAGCATCTTTCATGCAAGTCTGATCAATGTTAGGCGTGAAAGTACTTAGAAAGAAAATCATGCCAAAAAACCTTAACCTGGGACGCCAAGGGTATCACATAAGCTCCCCCAACTTCGTTAAGGTGAGCTAAAAATCATATAAAGTAATTATTACAAAATATCAACCATAACTGTATGTACAATAATATGAATGTAAAATTATGAGAAATGGATATCACGCAATTTTTCTAAACACTACATTGCTCATTATTTTTAAATTAGCTAGGCCACCTGACTTGCCAGTAGGGAGCTGCAAATTTTGTTTTATACTTACTGGTAGCACTACGGGACATTGAGCAGTGAGGGATCTTTTTCATGCCAACACCTAGCTACTGCAACATAGGGTCTCAGTTAAAAAAAGTTTCATCAATGATTGACTACTTATTCAGTGACTCTAGAGCAGATGCTCTAGCCATTGCACCACTCGTGACTATATTGGAAATGAAGCAAAAAATTCTTTTAGAAATCATTCTCTGAGTTAGTTGACCCATATAGTGCTTTAAAAGATACTACGGACATACTTTCTTTTGAACGGAATTATAATTTATGCTTTTTCAAGTATGCAGTAAGAATTTTTCCACCAAACTTTGTCAAAGCATTCTTTGTCATTGAGACCTATACAAAAGCAAAAATTTGGCATAATTTCCTACCTGCAGATTGATCAGAAATTATGATTTCATGGAATTATGACTCAGCAAAAAGTATATTTATAGCATGTATATACCGGTATGCATTCCTTTCCAAGAAATGAAAATTGTACTCTTAGTTAAAAATAGTTTTTATTTGTTATGTAAAAGTTGTATGACACTGGTCTGAGAGTAACCAATAACACTTCAAATACACCGTGTATAAAAATTGGATTACAAAAATACAAACTGGTGTGTTGAATGGCTCTTAATGCTTCTATAGAACAATTTAAATTTTCTTTGACAACATTCATCTACCAGAAATACCCTCAAGTTAAATAGATGCAAATGTCTGCCATTAAAATGGTGCAATAAATAAGTGAGAGAATATTCTTATTTCAACCACCAACATAAATAAGAGAGAGAAAAGGGCAGTAAATAAAGGTCATTCAAATCATGGAAAAATTCTTGTAAAAACAAGACAATGTACAAATATGAAGGTTTCAAACATTTGCTTTTGAAAAAAGTCAGTTAATAATTGAAACATTATACTATAAAAGTCATTTGGCACATATTAAAAATGCAAGATAGTAAAAAAAAAAAAAAGAAACCAGTAGTTTACTATAATACCAATATAATAATATACCAGCATGCCAAAATATTTAATTTTATTAGTAAATCCACTAAGGAAAACATTAAAATTTGATGCTTCATTTTTCAGAATAGACTTTTCATCGTGCTCAAGAAGACAAAAAAATATATATCAATGTTTCACTTGGAAAAATTCCATTTAAGATATTGTAAATAACAATGAATATTTACTATGATACTTAGTAGTTCGTAAATGAGAACAGAAAATGACTGCAACTTAATGCACACAGTACGTCAAAACACAGAACAAATTGCAATGCTGGACTTGTATTTATGCACCATATATCCTTGAAACTTATTAATAAACATATTTCTTTAAGCAGTGAACTGGTGAAAATAATGAAAAGTGATAATATGAGAATTTACTGATGAATCTACAATTATATATACTAATGGGCTTTTTTTATCAAACAGAAGAAAAACATAAGACATATACAACTTTCAATTTGAATCCAGTTACTGTATCCTATGACAATGGGATATTAAATATATAAATATATAGTAACCTTAGATTATAGCTATTTTATGGACAAAACAAGCATTGGTTTCCATTTATAAGTAAAAGCTATAATAATTGACGGGGGTTGTTGAGGTGTATGTTTATCATGAAAGGTAATACCATAGCTTTCTATAATGTAGGTGTCTACATATCGTTGACATTGATATACCTAAAGAAAAAAATTGCTTTCATGACAAAGGAAGATTTATTTTAAATAACAAATTAAGAATGGCCTTGACCTTAGATTCATACATGATGTTAACTGAGGTTCAGGGTACATTCCAGTGGAAAGCCACAGTATGCATGGTTATACATGATCTATATTAATACTGTTCCTTAATTTTAAGCATGATAAATTTTAGCTTCGTATCCCCTTACTGAAAATGAACAATTGTATGAAGTATATAATAAATATTTACATACATGTATGTTATATATTACAAGGAAATGACCTTGGAAGTATTGACAAAATGGAATCTAATCGATACACAGAGACCCATGAGCCACATTATCAATGCTCACCTGAGTAACTAACCCTGCTGATCTAGAAGAAAGATTTTTATCTTTTAACATAAATAATTGTGATCCCATGGGATATAATGGTCCCACCCTATTTAATCATGGTCCACACCATGGCTTTGCAGTTAATTAAGGAGAATAAAATCTTTCATTTATACATGCATTAGTTAAAATTTGATCCAGATTTTAGCCTTCTTTTACTAAGATTCATTGTTTTTGGGTCAAAAAATGAATCAAAACAACTTAGAAATGATTGCACATTAATATTTCTTATGTGGTTCTTAAGAAGGTGGATGCAAGGCAAATGGTATTTATAAGAATGCACTTAAGCTCAGGTCATCTAGCAATAAGAACATCTCACCAAAATTTATTTTTAGAGAGCGTTACCATATTAATTCTAAGCAAAATCATGATTCAAAACTTGGGTGGGTAGCTATTAAATTACCTTTCTTACAGAATATGCATTGAAATACTTTTGAAAGAAAAGGCACAAAGTGTTATAGAGCTACTCTGTTGATAAACAATTCTTTTCAAGTATGAAAAATAATTACTCTGACTTTTAAAAGCTGTTCAAAGTGGAAGTTATGAAAGGCATATGACATGAAATTATTTTATACAAATACAGAACTCAATTTGCACTACTTGGAATGATTCAAAAGATCTATTAAAAGCCTTCAGAAAAATACAGGAAAAATAAGAAACAAGAAAACACGGAGCACCTACTTTTGAAATCGGAGAGTACTACAACAAACAATAATTATTTATAGCACAATTAACACATTTCATTTCCTAACACAGATATAAAACATTCAAGAATTTTTGCACCATAGCTGACAAAGGGATATTTTCATTCTAAAATACATATTATTCTCACACTTTTGATATTTGTTCCATCATTATTGTTCTATCATACTTTTGCTCAGTAAGTCTCGTTATATAATTGTAAGATCATTTATAACAAAATAAACATCAACAACCTTCACAGATGTGTGAAAACACTACAGCCTTAAAATTCTCATAAATAAAAATGCCTTAACAGATAATGCTTTACTAACTGTTTAACAATCGATGTAAATCATCAATCAAATGTTTCAATCCAAAAACATAATTTTCATCCTCCTCCGGCATATGGTAAACATGAGCGAAGTCTATCATACGCACTTGAACTTTAGGATGAACAGATTCAGACCGACCGTCCGTCACTAAATCCACAAAATCACTGGAGATCACATCGGAGAAATCATTTTCAATAATGGAGTCTGTATCGCCGTTACAGCAGTTATCGGCGACGCTCCCCTTGAGACCGGCGGAAGACGAGGGCGATTTAGATGATAGGGGAGAGTTCACATCGCCGTCGAACACAATTAATATGGAACTGGCGAAAAAGTGAAAGGTCCGCTGCTTATTGAACCACTCTAAAATTTCCTTCAGCCTCACTATCACAGCTTTTATCACTTCCTTTTGCAAAACGCCATCTAGGGAGAAGAATTTTCCAAACCCTGCAAATACCAAAGGTGTGAATTTTTATCCAGTTCTTTTATATATTTATATTAAAACTGAACTGAAAATTTAATTTTTTAAAACATAGTCTTATCAGAGAAAAATATGAAATATTTGTTTGATTGTTTAATGTTTCTTTAAGAATTTTTCACTCAATGAGATGAGACGCTTGCCAGTGGAAGGCTGCAGTTTTAGACCTGCATGTACTCAGCACTTAGAGCCTTTTGAGCAGTGAGGGATCTTTCTCATGCCAGCATCTACTGTGACACGGGACCTGTTTTCAGGTCCTGCAGTGGGATTTGAACCCGCAAAGATCAACTCCTTACATTGCAACTCTAGAGTAAATGCTCCAACACTGTGCAATGCAGGGAACTACTTCCTAAGTAAAGAGTGCCTTTAATTAAAGTAAACTTTTTTTCAACTTTACCTTTAAAAACAATAGTTTCTTCATTCAAGTTTTTGCAGAAGTACTTGTCAAACTTTTGTGATTTTCCAGTGCTTGGACTATACGTCTGAAAGAAAAATTTTGTATATTAATTAAACTACATTTTGAACCAGACCACCAGTACATAACCACCAAAATCCTAATTAATATATCTAATCTATAAAGGAGAAAATCTTTATTATGACTGGCAGTCATTAATATAAAACTTGAACACAAGTCAAAAATATAGCTAAAATGATTATTTATTTCTTTTTTCCATGTTGGATATAAACTTTTGCAGTTTTTACTCTATTCTTACCTGCATTCCAGAGATCTGGTACCCAATGTTCTGTGCTGGAGGAAACTTGGCAATTTCTAGGGCCATTTTCTCTTGCGAGGCCTGGGGGTCATACGTTTTCCTCCCCATCTTAATGTCCAGAACACATGGATGCTTCATGTCCAAAAGTAAGTTTTCCAGTTTCATAAAGCGAGCTAAAAAACAAAAAATGCAGAGAAGTTATGTACACAATAAAGATATAATTTACTCCCTAGTTCATTTTTACTTCTAGTACAATTATATTTTCTGACATAAAATGCAAATAACCATGGCATGAATTTAGTGTTGAAAAAGGAATATGTTGGTCAGTAAGATAAAACTGAATGTGTATATTAAACATCTCAAAACTAATAGAGAACCAAGACTTGATCTTAATTAAAGCATGTTCTAAAATGTTCTTGTCAAACTTAACAGTTTCTTCATTAAGAAATTTTGATGGGTTGTTTATGTTATCTCCCTTAGCTTTGCATGTAGATATGTACCAAAAAGTTTGTTAATTTATCAAGCTATTACATGTATTACTGTAAATCACCTTTTATTCACGAGAACTTTATTTTCACGTAATTACGCGAGACAGTAAGCTCACGAAAATTTCATTCTTGCGTATAATAGAATTCCTTAAGATTATATAGACCAATGACCACAATTCATGAAAATTTTGTCTCGCTAATAAAGAGTCAATGACTATCTCGCGAAAATAAGGTGTCGCGAAAATTAAGTGATCTACAGTATTATTTGCGATTATATATTCTCATTTGGGAGCATGGGGTATCATTTAGTGAGCTCAGTGCTCAAAGTACCTCTAGCTTAGGATAGGTTTGCCATAAATCTGCATTATCAGAGCATGTAATGTTTTGTTCATTGAAAAATTATATTGATATTCTGTTCTATTTTATAAAATGTTAAATGGCCTGGCCGACAAGCATCATAAATTTTTTTCTCCATATTTGTTTTCAATTGATTTAAAGCAAAAGGCATTTGATAATTTAAATACGATCAATATTCATTTAACTCTCTACTTTTAAATTGCTTTGTTGAATATGTTTCTGGATACAAAATCAATATTTAACCGTTGGGCATGTCATTTCACAAAAAATCAACAATGAAGTATGAGGAAAAAATTTAAGCAGTCAATATAAATTGAAATATGTTGATATGAATATGTGAACATTCAGAAACTGGTCAACGGTACTTGGCAAACAAACTCTCTGCCCAGTAACCAAACAGCTTTATAGCTATGTACACATGGTCTCCACAAATCAACGAAATAAATGACAAAAAATCGCAATCGCATTTTTATGCATGTGTGCCCCATTTATTGAATAATATAAAATTGCTAGAGGCCCCTGACTGGGAAACAAGAAATACTATATTGAAAATTAGCGAATTTATCTAATTATTCTTTTAGCCCTACTTTTATTTTTCTGTTTGTCTTAATCTTATGGAAGCTTGTACACTGGTCTTAACTTTTAAAAGAGAGAAGTTTGGGCTTTCATATTTAACATGTGTATTAATTACCTTTGACAAATCCTTTCTGAACCCCTATAATCTTGAAGTCTGACATACTTCTAAAAATTTTGACCTTGACTATAGCTTCAGCAACTAAAGATATCGAGACAGGGCTATCATATTTTAGTGCATTACCGTGTACATGTAACAAACCCCTTCCAGACTGACTTTAATTTATGACCTGTTAATTAAGTTAATACCTTTAAAAAAATCATTTTCTAATCTATATCAGAAACATATGGACAATTTTCATGGAAAATGTGCATTACCTGCAATAATGTGGCCCAGCTCAATATTTACAATGTTGTTTTTTGCAAAGCATTTGCCCCATTAAAAGTCAATATTGTGAAAATCAGGCAAAGTTACACGTACATGTATATAATTCAAGGTGGGAAATGAAATGTGTTGGGATGCTCAGAACTGCTAAGACGCCCATGGACAACAATGCTCACTGGCTAAGCTACACTTACATGAACATGAAAAATTCTGACTTCATATTGTGGCCACACTCTAGCTTTAAGGGATCATATAAACTGAACATGAATTCACACATCCTGAGGATGTTTCATTTATCAGTATGACTAACACAGTCACAGTGTTTTCTTTTCCTGTAGACATAAAGCTATATATGTAAAACTTGACCCCACATATTAGCCCTACTCTTAGCTAATTTTTAAAAAAAAAAAAATTACAACATTCATTCCTTCACTCTGGAACAGTCAGATTTTCTTTTGTGTTCCCACCTACACCCGCTTGGATTCTTTGTGTTCTTGAAATTTTTTAAGAAATGAAACAGGACAAGACGGTTACAAACTTACAGTATACATGTACCACAGAAATCCCCCCAACACAACGAATAACACCCTGAAAGCAGAGGGACCACAATTCCCTACCACAATTCCCTGAATTTGGTTGTTTTCAAATAAATTTTACAGCTTACTTGATTCTATATGATATAGCTGAAAACTTTTTTAAAAAGTCCAAAATATTAATTAATTGTTTTACCATCAGATTCTTTTGGAGAATGTACCAATCCATGGAATTTTGGCACAAGGTCACGTAATTGTAGCAGCACTTTATCATCGGACTTTTGTTCGGAGAACAGTTCCTGGTAAAACTCCACCTCCCTCTGACCTTTGGGGGGACACTGCACCGGCTTTAATATTGTCCCATCCTCATGTAGTAAGCACCCTGAAAACAAAAAAAAGCATCCCTCTTATTTTCACAGTCTGTAGATGTCAACTAAATTATTTTCATCAAAATTTTAAAATAACTTACAAGAGCAAATTATATTCCAGTGAATTATAAAGTTTAAGATTTACTGAAAAAAAATGAGGGCTGTCATTGGTAACCAAAATGACTGAGAACTGCGGAACAATTATTTCGAGTCGGGTACTGGTTTTTTTTTTTTCTGAATTCAGTTCAGTTCCAATTTGTATAGCAGAAAAGGTTTTACCTTAAAAATGGTGTTTAAAATGAAAGGTTCATTAGTGTGGAAATATTTCGATTACCATTACATTGTATTATGTAATTTGAATCATTTGGTTCAATTATTTTTCTAGTCAGGAAACTAGTTTAAACTAGACATTATGTTGCTGTTTGTTAGGTTAAAAAAAATTGTTTTTTTGGTTGAATATATTATTCAAATCATGATTTTTTATTCTATTGTATACCCAAACTGAAAAACCCGGAATCAAACCTAAATAAAAATTAGAACCAACCTCACCCAGAAGAATATGGAACCGTGACAGCTAGCCCTATAGGGAATATATAACCTTCCTGGAATTCATGCAAACACACTAAAGGGTTTTTGAACTTAAATATTGCTGAATATTGGCACAAGTCAGATATACAAACGCACAAGCTTATTAGTGGATTTGTACAGTCAACGAGTGCCAATATTCTTCTATTCAATATAAGTTCAAGAACTCTTTTATTATATCCTGTGTAGCTAAAACATTTTACCATTGATTGATATTAATTTATTGATATAGCTCAAAATTAATGAGAATTTTTCCAGCATCGATATTAAAATTAATTAAATCGTGTAATATCAGCATCTGTCTGGGAAGTAGGCCTATTCAACATGCGATATATCACATCATTTCACTGACCCTACTAAGTATTTGAATTTGCTTATTGAGATTTTTATTGACACCTAGCTATTATAGGTACCAAATGACTAATTAATATTTTCAACTTTGCGTAAAAATAACCACATTTACGTAGCTGTTGTGCCCTTTCATATATTATTTCATTATTTCATATATCATTATATTGACAACACATTTTTTTGTTTACAATGGGGAGTTCAATATTGAATGCTTACATTTGGAATGTTTCTAGTATGTATATTTATATTATATGTAACATGTGTGTAATACAAACTGAGTGCCAAGATATTGAATATTAAAATTATATAGACTTCTTGCAGTTTTTGTCACATTAAACTATTTATATGCTATCTAATAAAGCAAATTACATAAGCATATATCCATTTAAAATTCTTCTGTAGTAGAACAACCCGAGATCTTGATCACTAAGTGTATTTGTATCCTCCACTAGACAGTTAAACCTGCATATCGATCTTCCTGTTTTGAGCAATATTCCTTTTTAAATGTGAGCTTTAAATTTTTTTTCTGCATTAACCTTCATTACACAACCATCATTCTAAATACCATGTAAGATGACTTCCTTCACTTCATAAAACCTGTAAACGTAATATTACTTTAACTGTAACAGTATAAGTATACTGGTATGTTTTAAAGGAGCATATATGATCTGTTTCTAAATTATACTGCTTGAAGTGGAATGAAATGTCTTTTATTTCCATTATAGATATACTGGTAGATCAGATTGCCTATATTATGCAACCAACTGACCTAATTTTTTAAAAATATATCTTGAGGAGTGGTTCAATTCAGGCATGACTTTGCCACAATGACACATTTTGAATTGATGTTTCATAATAATAAATTACTGACTGAATTTATAATGTTACAGATTCCATAAAATATAATCTATTTTTATCAAACAGATCAAATGACAAAAATTCACTGTGAGCTCCTGTTCTCATCATTCTAGTCATTAATATCTTCACGACTTGTAAGAACGTGTCATATTTCATCCTAATAACAGCATATGCAATGTTTTTTCCTTATAAAATATATCATTTTCGTAGCTTTATTCATTATATATAGCTTTACCCTGGTATTTATAATTTATCTCATACAAACTGCTATTATGTCATTCTTCTTGGACTCGGTGTTACTGAGCTGTATGATTTATTACACCTTGTAAATAACCATGATCTGTGTGGAAATTTTGAATTTTATTAAAGCAATATGAGCTGCATGTTTGACATCGGAAAAAAATGTTGCAAATTTGTAATTAACTATTTCAATGACAGAAAAATAGAACATTTATAAACTTCTTTGTTCATATTTGCTATGAAAGAACTTTTTATACGCGCTGATTGAAGCAAAATTGAATTATTGTCGTCCTGTACAATACTGATTTCTTATATAATACTGTATATTCGGTTGTACAGAAATATTTCTTCTGAAACATTTTTAAATTTTATTTTTGTTTTATTGATCATAAGGGTTTAGATTACATACAAATTAATCATAATAACACATTTTACCAGCAAAATAAAATTCTCAAAAATGCAGCTCATATTGCTTTAAATTACGGACTTCCCTAGCTGCTTTCATAGTATACAATAACAAATATAATATGACACCTACGTCTAGAATTACATATAACAATAATGTCTATCTGTTATTTCTACCTTCAAAGCAGGTGCCAATAAACTGAATAAACAACAAGGAAATTTTTTTCGTAAAATTATATCTTGTATGACTCTTAACATGCTTACTACCAAACTTTTCTGATATAAATATTTCTATTAATAGTGCACATGACCACTAAGTCATTATCAAAAATTGCATTTATAAGTCATCAATCTATTCCCCCATAAGACCAGACATTGCATGAAATCAGTAGATGAATTCATAAATGCTGAATCACATACAGGTCCATGCAGAATTATTGGTATACAAAGTAACTAGAAAACTGACCAGTCAGCAAGGGCCCCGCTATGAGGTAGAATTATAAGGGTGCAGCTTATGGAATGATTTAAGAAATACATGACGAATAAGAAACAGCAACTGTATTCTTAAAATTTCAAGATAATTCCCGAATATCCCAAAAACCTGTAAATAATATCCTTGTATTTATTTTACATAAGGCAGTAAAGAACAACTCAACACTGAATGTATATCTAAATAATAGTGAAGCTTTTGTTATATAAAATGCCAGCCTTCAATGAATGCAAATACATATCATGAAGGCTTGACCTTAACTTCAAAACAAACAGCAGTTGCAGACAAAGGTTTTCATTAATCTTAAAGTGACAGATAAAGATAAGCCTTCTAAATTTTCTGCAGCAGACTAGATAATTAATCCCAAGGGATTAATTGTACTTCTCTCTCATCATTTTCTTCTAAATTTATAATAATAACTTTTTCAGCAATGATAGAATGATCGAGGTTTTTATCCAACTGCCTTAAAAATTAATAATATTCTTGAATTTTCATGACCCCCCCCCCCTCAAAAAAAATTAATAAATAAAAATATATATCTTCTTTAATCTATTTCTTCTTTTTCAAAGTCAATGAAATTAAAACTCATCGTGTAGGCTATTTCAACAAAAATAAAGTAAAAACATTTATACTTCAATCCACATTTCATAGTGTTCATAGCATTCCAAATGGACTTAACTTCAAAACAAACTTCATTTGCAGACAGAGGTGGTAATTAATCTCAATGTGACAGATAAAGATAATGCTTTGGATTTTCTTCAGGAGGAAAGCTAATTAATCCCAAGGGGCTCATTCATTGCAGTATTCAGTTTACAACATTTTCAGAAGTTATCTCTCTTTCCCAATTCATTCTTATATAAAGTTAAGGAATCTACCCCACCACCCCAGCTCCAAACCAGAGGACATAGAGAAACAAACTTAGCATCAAAATATGTCTTTTTGCCTACTGAACTACCATACCAAATTTGAACTTAATTGGGCTACCATAAAAAAAGTTATTAGGAAAAAACAGAAAATTTGTGGACGGAAGAATGACAGACGGACAGACAGACAGACAGAGTGATTACTATAGGGCACCCGCAAATCCTTGCGGGGCCCTAAATATTGATACAGGCTTCTTAGTACAGTAATTCATTAAAGCCAAGTGATCAGGTCCATGTAATAGGAACAAATAATAAGATTAAGGGGGCTCTTTACAATGTTACAACATGGCGTACTTCCGTTGAAACGCCATTTTGGTCCCAAATGATCTGATTCAAATTCACTTAACACTGATAAATCACTGAGTATAATACAACATGCGATATTGTGGATGGAATGTACATTGTATCACCTCAATTAATACAGTGTATTGCCCAACACGCATCCTTTCTTTAAAAATTGTTTGTCAATTTATTCAATTTGTAATTATTCAATTATTAAATAATATATTTACAAACTTATAGAATAAGATTTATAGGTGAGAAAATATGATATAAAATCATGGCTTGTCCATATGTTAATTCATCATTACGTGTCAAAACACTCAGAAATTTATTTTTTCTTCAATAAACATATAATGCTTTCCAGCAAAAAATATCTCTCAAAAATGCAAATTTGATAAGATAAGACATACATGTATGTATTATCTTCCCATCGAGTAGAGGATACTCTGTTCACGATTTGTATACACCCAAATGAATGGTTATACCTGGTGAAATTTAAAGTCTTCATGAAATCACCAAAACGTTTGGACGGTAAGTAGAATTTTGCATGACCCAAACATTTGATCAACATTGATTATCAGCTGTTTGTATGGGAAACGTGCAGGTTTTAGACGAAGTGTGAATTTGGTTGTAGGAATTTCTTTTACCCGCTTTTGGCCATTTATCATGTTTACATGCTTTGTTATATCTAGCACTGAATAACACATGCAAGTTGGATAAAAACGGTAAGTAAATCTACCTTTCTCAATACCATGAATTCACTCAATACATGTCTTTGTCATTGACTGGAAACGTGATGGTTTTCGCTTAAACTCATTTAAAAACAATACATGTACAATACGAACTTCTTTCAATGTCCTTACGTGACATTTTTTTAATA